CGTGCGGGCGGGCGGGGCCGGAGAGCGGAGTCCCAGTGCCCACGGGCGGCTCTGCTCCGCACCTTGACCGGGTTTCACAGGCCCGGACCTTCCGAGAGCCCAGCCACACCTCACCAAGTCCCCCTCCCTCGGTGCTGGACGGCCTGGCCACTGCTTGCTCCCGCGGGACAGCCCGCGAAGCTGTGCTGCGTGAAACTTCAACCCAGTGCTTCCAGGTGCACCCATGAGCTGAACAAGTGAACACGTTTAAATATGTATCTAGATGTTCAGTAATCATGTCAGTCCTGAGCGGATAAGCTCATTTGTATTGTGTGATCTTTCTCAACCGACCAGCGTGTTCATGGACAGCTGGGGAAAACAATGGCAAGTTCCCATGATTACTGTCTTGGATTGAGTGTATGCTAAACCAGCAGATTTGCGGTTCCTTGAACCTTCTTGTAAGGACTAGAAAAACCTGTTTAATTCTGCTGTCACAGGAGCAGCGTCGAAAGCTGTGAATTCAGACCCAGCTCCACTGTAGTGGCTGTCCCTCCTGGGCCAGTCCCACAGTTAACAGTTTTCTCAGATGCAAAAGCTGGGTAATTACAACCCTGTAAGTTGCCTCCCAGAGCTTCGCAGGACCTGTCATAAGTGAGGCTCTTTGTAAACTATACTTGCTACAGACTGTAAATCAGCATTTGATAAAGAGCACAAGGAGATGCCAGAGCATCATCAGCCTTCTTATAATACTTGAGAAAGTGGAGACCCAAATGAGCTGGGCTGGTTATACCTGCCACATACTTGCTGAGCAGCACCTACTATGCGCCAAGCAGTCGCAGGCACCAGGGAAGCAGCTGTGAACAACACAAAGCCTCTGCTGGGAGGTCCCAGTCAGTAGTGGAGACAGAAAATAAACAAGTGGGTGCACGAATCAGCAAGACGGTTCCAGGTGTGAACTGCGAGTGCCCGGGTGGAGGGGTTGGTGCTGCAGCATTCCAGACAGCGTGGAAGGTGTGGAGGGGGCTTGGGCGTGGCCTGCTGTGGGAACAGAGAGAGGGCGCTGTGGCTGGAGCTGAATGAGCAAGTGGGAGGAGGAGAGATGTCTGGGAGGCCCGCAGAGAAGGCAGGATCAGATCCTTCATTCAATAATATTTATGAAGCACCTGTTTTGTGCCAGGCACTGTTCTAGGCACTTGGGATACAGAAGTGAATAAAGCAGATCAACATCCCAAGTGTCATAGAGCATACATCCATCCTCCCAGAGCTTACATGGAGCTTTCTAGTGAATCCTATATAATAAAAGCCTAATATGCTACGTGTCCCGGTCGTCTGATCATCCATTCAACCAATCAAAGTGTTATATGCTAATGATATGCTAAGGCTGCTCAACTGCTCACTATGATGTCCACTGACCACCAGGGTGCAGACATTCGACTGGTTGACCAGTCGCTATGACGCCCAGTGACCACCACAGGGCAGATGCTCTGACCAGTAGGTTAGCTTACTGCTGGGGTCTGGCCAATAGGGACTGAGCGAGATGGACCGGACATGCCCTGGAGTCCTCCTGCGGTCCCTCTCCGGCTGGCCAACCTCCCGCGTCCCTCCCTGTCCCTGATTGTGCATTGGTGGGGTCCCTCAGTCTCCCTGCATCCTCTGGCAATCCAGGACCCCTCGGGGGATGTCAAAGAGCCAATTTTGGCCTGATCCCGCAGTTTTGGCCGAGGGACCCCACTGGTGCACGAATTCGTGCACTGGGCCTCTAATTAAGAAATAAACTGCTAGAATTTATGTCATGGCAGATGTGGCTGTGCAGTCAAGAGGAAAAAAATCAGGCAGGAAACGGAATGAGGTAGGGAGTGTGGGCATGGGAAATCACTCTGTCTTGTTGCAGTCAGTGAAGCCTCACCAAGGAAGTGACATTTGAGCCAAGACCTAAGTGAGACGAGTAAGGAGTTTGGGTGGGAATGAATGGTACTAGATGGGTCCCAGGGTTGGTGGGTTGTGTAGGGCCTTTGCGGCCACCGTGGGGGCTCTGAGCTGGTTGGGAGCCACTGGGAGGAGCAGAGGAATAGCAGGGTCTAAATCACTCTGCCTGCTGTGTTGAGATCAGATATTGGGGGACAAGGGTAGAAGCAGGGAGACCTTCAAACCAAACAAATTATTTTAATTGTAGTCTGAATGCAATTGCAAGTCCCTGGGAAGGTTTTACAAAGGGAATGCTATGACATAACTTGTGTTTTTAAGATTTCTTTGGCTGGTGGGTGGGTGGAGAAGTAATGATATTGGGAGCAGGGAGAAGAGCTAGGAAGCAACTGCAGTATTCTAGATAATTCTAAGAGATTGCTTGGACTGGGGTAGGGTTAGCCTGGGTTATGGGAGGAGCAATAGATTTTGGGTATTTTTTGGTGGGCCTATGGCTGTTGATACTGCTACCAGGTCTCTCCCAGAGTTGCAGCGTGCTTGCTGGTGTCCGTGGGAAACAGACCCCGCTTTGAAGAAATCAGAATGGCCCAATGCCTAAACCTGGGTCATCCAACACATGCAGTGGAAGCCAATGAAAAAGAACACGTGAGCACCCAGGGTACAACACGAGAGAACACGTTCGTGGGCGTGTTTGGGAGTGGTTGGGCGTTGTGCCAGACGACACGAGAAGCTCAGCCCCACTTTCTGAACCCGAGTGAGCAGGTGTACTTTCTGGCCCGGTAGTCAGTGCCTCCAACACGGGCCTTCTTGTTGGAAGAGGGAGCAGTAAGCACGGCGGGAGCGCTTGGAAGGTGAAGGGCAGTGCCCAGCCAGGAAGAGGATTACGGGAGACAGCCCATGCTCCCGCCTTTGCATCTTTAGCATTTCGAGTTCCACGATTGAAGGAGAAACTAGAGTTTTTGTCTCAGTGACACAAAACCCTTGTAACCCTCCTATGTAATCGGTTCACGTTTCTGTAATGTAGTGTGTTATGAAATGGGAGAACCCTGTTCAAATAACAGTGTTCATTCTCTCTTCTCAACATGCTTCAGGAGCAGGTTTGAGGGGAGGAGGGTTGGTGTGATTTGGTTACGGCAATAACCATAGATATCTGATCTGAGCATTAGCTGCTCGGGCGATGTCCTGTTGTAGGTTGGACGGAAAGATGACCTTAGTCCTCACCTTCTTCACAGGTCATGGGGCTGTAGCTCAGGGGACATTTTTTCTCTGATTTTGAGCAGTTTGTGGTTGGGGTACAAGGCGGATGGTGGTCTTAGTTATTTGTTTTAGTTATTTTATTTGGTTTTAGTTCAACATCATGCTATCTTTTCCCGGTTGGACAGAGGTCGTTGGCGGCCTGGAACTGTCAGCCGGTGCTGGGATGAGCGGGGAAAGCAAGGCTTTCAGATTCATGGTGGCTGTGCAGGTAGTCAGCTGTTTGTTGCCGTTTTAATGCTTATTCTTTATAACATGAAAACGTAGAAATGATGCTTTAAAAACACAGAGCGAAATGGCATCCAGCTCCCAAGCACGGCTGTGTGTTTCCTCTTTCTGCCTCCCAGGCGTGGGGCTCACCCAGCAGCGGGTCCCACGCCCGCCCGGTGATGTGTCACTCGGAGAGGTTTCTATACCAGCATCGCCCGTGGGGGAATGGGAAGTCTGCGGTAAGGAACGAAACCAGTTCTCAATTTTCTCAGAACTCGGATGAAAACGTGCCTCTCCGGAAGACGCTGCTCCCTCGGCACCGGGATGGAGGATGGAGCCAGGGGCCAGGGCGCGGAGGGGCCGGTGGCTCCCCCTCCCGCCCCTGCACAGGCTCCCTAGCGACTCCTCTCCCTGCTTTCCTGCTCCCCGTGATGGGACCCGAGCCCCGTGACTCAGAGTGGAGAGGCCTGGTCACCCTCTGGCTGCACGTGCAGCATCCAGAGCCATGGCGGCTGGTCTCCTGCCCATGCCGTTTGGCTCCCAGGGCCTCGTGCTCCAGCCGCCAGCGGTCCACGGGGCCAGCCCTGGAAGCCACGTGACTGCCGTCAGGCCCCCACCTGGGCTGTCGTGTCCAGCACCGCCGCCTCCTTTCATCTGCCTCCTTCCTTCAGAGCTTGAGCAGCTCTGACTGTCCCGAGAGAAAAACCACTGGGCTGGTGGGTTTGACGCTGAATTGTTGACCAGGAACCTCAAACAGCTCTCCTTGTCCCAGAAATGGCTCTTTCAGGCTTTGCTCTTGATGTGACACCTCCACACCCCTATCCTCCTCCTGCTCTTTAGATGGATGGATTGAAGACAGAAGCATAGATTGAATTACTTTTTATATAAACGGGTCCACACTATAAGTGTCACATATTTACTCATCTATAATAATAAAAGTGTAACGTGCTAATTAGACCGGATGTCCTTCTGGATGAAGCCAGGACTGTGAGGGAAGCCCAGGTCCCGGGTGCCAGAGGGAAGCTGGTGCCGGCAGACGGGGGAAGGAAGGCCTACTCTTGCACGAATTTCATGCATGGGGCCTCTAGTTTATTTATAAATAGTTTTCCTGAATCCAAAAAGGAGTTGGGAAGGGGACTTTCACTTAATTACTTAATTTTTTTGAGAATCACCTACATCCTCCCCATCACTGTTTATGATGAAAAGTTTTAAGCATACAGAAAAATGGAAAGCAAAGTACAATGAACACCCATATGCACACCACTGAGATGCAAGGGTTAACATGTTGCCATTTGCATTTTTTCCTCAGAACCATTGAAAGTAAGTTGCAAACATCATGATATTCACTCTGAAATACTTCAACAGGCCTCTCCTGAAATGTGGATATTCTTCTACATAGTTATCATTTTTTTCTGTTAAATTTAGCAGCAATTTCCAAAAATAATCTAATACCAACTTTATACTTATGCCTATTGTCCCCAAGAAGTTTTTATAGTTGTTTTTATGAAGTTTTTAAGTTGATTGGAATGAAAATCCAGTCCAGCTTCATGCACTGCATTGAGCTATGTCTTCAGTTTATTTCCATCTGGAAAAGGGCCTCATTCCACCCCTTGGCCAGCTGTGTGTAAAATGCCCCATGGTCTGGATTTCCTGAGTTATTTCCGTAAGTCTCACTGAGTTTATTTTCCTCTATTCCCTCCCTGGAAGTTAGATCTAAAGACTTGATTACATGCAGATTAAACATTCTTGGCAACACGACTTCATTGCTGACCCTGTGAACTTCCTGTTACATCTTATCAGGGTTGTCTCCCATTAATCATGCTGCCTGCATTTGAAGTCTTAATTAAGGTGGAGAATGCAAGTTGCATGTTAGTATGAAATTTACTTCTAACTGATTTGAATGGAGAAAAGAGAAAGTTCAACTAAAAGAATTGTTGACTTTCAAGTATATATTTCTTCACTACAAGAGTTAATATTTCTTATAAGATCCCTCTAAGATTTAGAGGTCATGAAAAACATTAAGAAGTTGAAGTGATTATGTTTACTTTATAAGCACGTTTCAATTTTTGATAATATGTATAAACTCTCTGCTGTGAAAGATGACTCCTGTACACTTCTCCCTCCAACCCCTCCTCTAAAACTTCTTTATAATGTAGCATCCGGTGCTGTAATTATAATCCCACAGTTGTCTGACTCTGTTCTGTTTAGATGGATACAGTGGTCAGTAACTTTACCACAATGTCTCCGTTCCAGGGTTCTTTATGTTGATTTGACTCCTGATGGGTGCATTCCCTTGTCAGGTAGTTTTTTTATGGAGAGTTCATGGCTGCTGTGTTAATCATGTTCAGCATTCTTAACAGATTTTTCTGCAACAGGTGTGCCTTTAGATCTGAAGACTCAGTTTATTTATTTTCTTTATGCCATAGAAATGACTTTCTTTTATCTTTAAACTAGTGGCCCGGTACACAAAATTCATGCACATTAAAAGGGAATTAATTAGAGGAAATATTTTAATATTGCTATTTGCCTTTTCTCTATAATAGAAGTGTCAGAGATAAAAGAAAATTAATAAGATGTATATGAAAATCTCCCTCCTGTCAGAGTCTGGGGCATGCCATGGGACCCAGAGTCAAGTCCCTCCCCACCCGCGTGCGCCTCGAAATCACACAAGACCCAGACCCGGCCAGCCCTACCCCCATCAAGCCCCGGCAGGCAGGGGATACAGTCTCAGGTCCCCCGTCAAGCCCTGCCGGGCGGAGGGCACAGCCTCAGGTTCCCCGGCACAGCCTCTGATCCCCTGGCCCAGTGCCGGGGCGGGGGGCGCGGCTTGAGGTCCCCCACCTCGGCCCGGCACCACCCAGCCTCAGGTCCCTGCTGATCTTAGCCTTTTATTATTATGATCATTTTCTCTTTTTATTCAGTTCTTTACACCAGGCTCAGCAATTAGCCCTGCATGGGTGTTTGTCTGTCGTTCATATCTATTTATCTTTGAGTTTGTCCTTTCCTCTGCACTCACTCTGATTACTCCCAGTGCTGGTGATTCAGGTTCAGCATGGTCATTTAGTTCCGGGTCATTTCTAAATTATTCATGTGGCAGCTATGTTTGTTTGGTCCTCAGTTGTTTTCCCCCTATGGTGTGAGGTGGGGGTCAGGTTGGTTTCCATAGATCTGTACATTCCCTTTTTATCTCACTTGATTGTTTTATCTTCTCAATTTGAAGTCTTGTTTTGTTGACATCACCTTTTTTTGTTGTTGTTAATCCTCACCTGAGGATATTTTTTCCATTGCTTTTCAGAGTTTGGGGGCAGGGGGAGAGAAACATCGATGTGAGAGAGACACATTGACTGGTTGCCTCCTGCACACACACTGCCGTGGGGTGGGTAGGTGGGGGGAGGGGAGAGTGAACCTGCGACCCAGGTCCGTGCCCTTGACTGGGAATCAAACCCTCGACCCTTCTATGTGTAGGCTGGTGCTCCAACCAGTGAGCCACACCAGCCAGGGCGTCATCATTTTCTTATTAAGGTGTTCTTTAGCTGGAAGCAATTATGAGGAGTTCCTTCTCTGCATGTGTTATATTTTCTTCTAGGCTGGGCTCTTCGTCTCCCTCCTGAAAGCCTTTCGTTGTTGTTGTTTTACTGTTTGTTTATATTGTTGTCTTTTATTTTGTTTGCTGTCCCAGGTTGTAATCTGCAGGAGGCAGACTCTGCGATTGGGGGGAAGTATCTGATGGCACTCTGGGATTCACTCCAGCGCAGGGGCTGAGGGAAGCAGGGTTAGGCAGAGGGAGGGGCGGGGCTGTGCTGTGCTCACAACAAAGCTGATCCCACTCTGACAGAGTTGTCCTGAGTTGGGGCGAGAGGCCGTAGTCTTTCTACCTCTGCACAGACCAGCGGTTGGAATGCAGGCTGCTCTCAGAGAGGGCGTGTGCCATGGGCAAGGCAGCATTTTTCACCCAAGGGTGCATGTGGGCTCCTAGGGAATGAAGCTGCAGTTCAGAAGAGGGTAGATATCTGGTTGGCACTAAACCCAGCGTCCATCCGTTAGAGTCCATTTTATTCTCACGTGGTACTGTCCAGATATTTTTCTGATTTTTCATTCTCTTCTTACCTGTCTGAAATAGGTGTGTTTCCTTCTGATAGGCAGATCGAGGGCTGAGGTGGTTTGTTTTTTTTTAATTTCCCCCTATGTTCGTAGGTTGAGAGAAGGACTGGGAGCCAGTGAAGGGTCGGACAGTGGGTGAGCCCGGTGAGGTGGTGGGCTGCCTTCAGGATGGTGTGAGGTGGGGGTCAGGGTTATGCATCTACATTACCCAGAGCCATTTGTGGAAAAACATCTTCTCCCCATTGCTCTGCACTGCCACCTTTGTCACGAATCAGTCTATGTCTGTGTCTGCCCATCTCTGTTCTCTTCCATTGGCCTATTGGACTGTCCTTGTCCAGATAGCACCCGTCTCATTTCTTGTAAGTTTACGATGGATGCTGACGTCCAGTAGAGTCATTTCTTCTTCAGGATTACCTTGGGCAACCTTTGTGCTCCTTGCCTTTCTATTCAGCTTCAGGATCAGCGTGTCAGTTCCCACAGAGCACCTGCTGGTGTTTGTGCAGAGATCGCATGGATGTGTGGCTCAGGGTGGGTACGATGGGCCTTGCTACAGGTGGGTTTCCGATCTGAGAGCGTTATTTAGGGCTTCTTTATTTTTCAAAATATTGACTTAGAGTTTTCTATGTAGAGGTGTTTCTTGGAAATATTATATTAGTTTTATACCTGGGTATATTATTAAAAAGAAAAACCATCCAAAACAATGTAATGAATCACCATGTAGCCATCACTCAGTTTCAACAGCTTTGTTGCATTTATATCTCTCCTTCGCTCAATCCCACCATTTCCTCCCAGCTTATTTGGAAGCAAATTTAAAAATATATTGCCCTAGCCTGTTTGGCTCAGTGGATAGAGTGTCGGCCTGCAGACTGAAGGGTTCTGGGTTCGATTCCGGCCAAGGGCACATGCCTGGGTTGTGGGCTCGATCCCCAGTAGAGGGTGTGCAGGAGGCAGCCAATCAATGATTCTCTCTCATCATTGATGTTTCTCTCTTTCTCTCTCTCTCTCTCTCTCCTTCTTCCTTCCTCTCTGAAATCAATAAAATATATTTAAATACATATATATATGTATATATATATACCATTATAGGCATTTCAATATGTATTTCTAAGACATAAGAAGGACTCTTGTTTAAAAAAAATAAACATCGCCCAAGGCGACGTTGCTTCTGGTCTTGAAGCTGCCGGACCTACTCCGCACCGCGGAGGAGGCATGCGGGCCACGCCCACGCGGGCCAGCTCAGCTCTGATACCCGGAGGCATGGAGACTTCCGAGGGGTGGACCACTGGTCATTCACGCCGAGCAGCCCAGCTGAGCGGACGGAGAGCCAGGGGTGGGCAAGGCCCAGCAGGCCGGGGCCAGGGGCTGACCAGGAGGACCTGGCGGCAGAAGGCACCGAAAAGCCTCAGGTCGTCGTGGACTATGAGAGCGGACGGGCCGGTCCTACCAGGCTCTGGGCAAGACGGAGAGCCTCGGCCTCAAGCTCTGCGGGAAGGACAGGGGATGCCGATGGAGAAGGGGCCGAGGGCAAAGTGAA